CCTGCAAATTTGTGGGTATCAATGCAAATATCCATGCCTCAGTTTTGCAGATATAGATGCTGATGTAAATTTTGTATCCATGCAAGGTCCAACTCAAAAGTAAGTCTACAATTTTTATTCATGGGTATTTTTACTAAAAAATTAGTCACAAATAGGTCACAGGAAGTAAACAAAAATTCATAGCCCATGACCTATTCCAGTGTTTCTCAACCAGTCGTACGAATACCCTCGGGGGTACTTGAGAGAAGTCTGGGGGGTATGTTAACACAACTGAAATTTGGAGAAAACTGAATTTTTGCTTTCAGTTTTACAGTGCTTTATTATTTTTGTACTTTTTACACACACACAAAATTTTAAAGGGGCACTTTATAAAAAAAAAGATTAAGAAACACTAACCTATACTATATACCTATAAATAAACTTAGATCAGGAGGTCAATGGGTACTCTAGAAGGGGGGGGTGTCAAGGACTCCGACTGCTGGGTGGCCAGGCAGCAGCTCAGAGCCAAGAACCCCCACTGGTGCTCGAGTGCTGGAGTACTAGCGGGAAAGGGCTCCCAACTAGGGATGTTAGCATGTTGTTGTTTACATTATTAACCAATAAGCCAGGAATGGTTCCCTGCGCATACCAGCTCAGCTCCTGTGGAGCTGCCTGCTCTCCCCCTCCCCCCCAGCTACACTGATACAGAGGTATTAGTAGAGTGGGGAGACAGGCAGGAGCCAATTCAGGCAAAGAGCCAGCTTTTAAGCCAGCTCTCTACATGTGCCAGCTCTGAGGAGCTGCCTGTCCCCCTCCCTCCCCACCTTTGCTGCTTCCCACAGAGGCAGCAGCATGAGTGGGGAGGGCAAGGAGGAGCCAGTGTCCGGGGGGTAAGACAGCTTAAAAGCCAATGCCCCATAAGCACCAGCTCCCATGGAGCCACCTGTCCCCTGTGCTAATGCCTGACAGAGAGGCAGTAGTGCGTGGAGGGGCAGGCAGAAGACTGTACATGCAGAAAGCAGCTTTCAAGCCAGCTCCTCACACATGCCAGCTTCCACAGGGCCATCTGCCCACTTTCCCCCAGCTTCCACAGAAACAACAGCAGGAAGCTGGTGCTCCGACAGAAGCAGCAGCATTGGGGGTGGGGGAGGCAGGTGAGAGCTGGTACATGCTGTAAGCAGCTTTCAAGCCAGCTCCCCACACTGCTGCCTCTTTATCAGGCATAAGTTGGCTTAAAAGCAAGCTCTCAATGAGCACCAGCTCCCACCTGCTCCCCCATGTGTAAACATGTAACTGCTAAAAAAAAGTGAGAATTACATATTTACACAAATGCATGTTAACAACCCTACTCCCTACCCAGCTCTGTGCAGTTCCCTGGAATTGGCTGGCATGTCACTGCAGTTTCTAGAGAAGGGAAAGTCAAGGGAGCTCCTCCACACAAGCTGGCTGCCACAAGATCCAGCTTCACAGCTCCTATTTGCCAGGAAACCACAATGGGAGCTGTAGGGGAGGAGTTCACATCAGGAGTAGCGCATGGAGAAGCTCCCAGCCCTCCCTCCCCCTAAGAGCTACAAGGACATGCCAGTTGTTTCCGGGGAGTCCTCTCCCAAGGTAAGCATTATCCCACACACCAAACCTCTGACCCAGTCCTGAGTCCCCTTCCACACCCAAACTGCCCCAGCAGTGACCAGTGAAGCTGGAACTGGGGTTACTAATCTGCTCAGGCATCCCTGGAGCCAGCTGCACCAAGCACCACAGAAGTCATGGAAAGTCATGGAATCTATGACTCCCATGACCTCTGAAACAGACACAGAGCCTTATTCAAATTTCTTAAACTCCCATAACCTCTGAGCATTAACAAAAAACAGGACTGTGTAGCACTTTAAAGACTAACAAGATGGTTTAATATGTGATGAGTTTTCGTGGGCCAGACCCACTTCCTCAGATCAAATAGTGGAAGAAAATTGTCACAACCATATATACCAAAGGATACAATTAAAAAAAATGAACACATATGAAAAAAACAAATCATTTCAGAACAGAAGGGGGATGAAGGGGGCGAAGGGGGGGAGGTAAATGTTTGGGAGCTAATGATATTAGAGGTGATAATTGGGGAAGCTATCTTTGTAATGGGTAAGATAATTAGTGTCTTTATTCAAATTTGTGTGTCAAGTGTCGAATTTAAGCATGAATGACAGTTCAGAGGATTCTCTTTGAAGTGAAGTCTTAAAAGGTATTTGAAGCAGGATGCAGGTAATCAAGTCGTTGAGACAATGTCCTTTCTGGTTGAAATGGCAAGAAACTGTTTTTTCTTTGTGATCCTGTCTGATATATGTTTTGTGGGCATTGATCCTAAAGATGTCATCGATGTAGCATAAGTAGAGAAGGGGTAAAAGAGGATGGGAGTTGAGGAAACGTTTTAGGTCAGCCATAAAGATATTAGCATACTGTGGGGCCATGCATGTACCCATGGCTGTGCCGCTGATCTGGAGGAATAAGTTGTTCTCAAACTGGAAATAATTGTGGGTGAGAACAGTTACATAGGTCTGCTCTCAGACCAGAGGACACCACTGCCAATCTGAGAGCAGACCTATGTAACTGTTCTCACCCACAATTATTTCCAGTTTGAGAACAACTTATTCCTCCAGATCAGCGGCACAGCCATGGGTACATGCATGGCCCCACAGTATGCTAATATCTTTATGGCTGACCTAAAACGTTTCCTCAACTCCCATCCTCTTTTACCCCTTCTCTACTTATGCTACATCGATGACATCTTTAGGATCAATGCCCACAAAACATATATCAGACAGGATCACAAAGAAAAAACAGTTTCTTGCCATTTCAACCAGAAAGGACATTGTCTCAACGACTTGATTACCTGCATCCTGCTTCAAATACCTTTTAAGACTTCACTTCAAAGAGAATCCTCTGAACTGTCATTCATGCTTAAATTCGACTCTTTACACGCAAATTTGTATAAAGACGCTAATTATCTTACCCATTACAAAGATAGCTTCCCCAATTATCACCTCTAATATCATTAGCTCACAGACATTTACCTCCCCCTCTTCCCCCTCCCATACCCCTTCTGTTCTGAAATTTGATTTGTCCTTTTCATATGTGTTCATTTTTTTAAATTGTATCCTTTGGTATATATGGTTGTGACAATTTTCTTCCACTATTTGATCTGAGGAAGTGGGTCTGGCCCACGAAAGCTCATCACCTATTAAACCATCTTGTTAGTCTTTAAAGTGCTACACAGTCCTGTTTTTTGTTTCAGCTGCACCAGACTAACACGGCTACATTTCTACCACTACTCTGAGCATTAGTTAATGTTGTCTCTCTCTAACAATAATGGTAAAATCATGCAGCATTTGGGAGTAGTTCTCAATTTGCTCTGACCCAGCCTTGCAGGCACACTAAACTAGATTCTTAGCCACATGACAGAGTTCCGGTATGTAAGCATTGTGTCCTTAGGCAGCCCTATTTCCTGGCCCATGTGTGGGCTCCACCAAAACTTGCCGCTGCCTGCCTGCGCTCCATGCCACCCTGTGCACAAATCCCTGTATGTCCTCCAGCCCAACCTACCGCTCTGGGTGGGTCTGCGGTAAGCACAGCAGAATTAAAGCAGCTTTCACCCACTTGCCAGCATGTGTCCCTGCAGTCTCCCCGCCCACCCCTATACCTCCCCTTTACTGTCTCCAAACTCCCTCCTGCCCCCAAACTCCCTCCCAGAGCCTGCCACCCTTCCTGTCCCCCAACCACCTGCTCCAGTCCAGAGCCCAGTCCATTACCCAGCACCCAAACTCCTCCCAGGGCCTGCACTCTTCCCCAACCAAAATGCCTTACAGGCTTAGGCAGATGGGCAGGGAAACTTGAGTGGAGGGGACAGATGAGGTCTCTAGGCATTCTGGGCACTACCAATTTTTTTGCAAACCTGCCACCCCTAATCACATCTAAGAGATCAGATGAGAGTCCAGTACTCATCTGGAGAAAATGCTCCACAAGCGGAACAAAATTCCACCTACTCCTAAGGGTTATTCTGTTGTGTACTCAAACTTACAACAATTTCACAGAATTCCCATAAGAATCATTCCTTTTTCATTAAAACAGAGCAAATCTGTATGAAGATCAGACAGGGGCTAGGATACATCTCTTGCAGATCTGTTTGAGCAATTACAAGGCGAGGCATCTTCAATGTTTGATGAATTGTTAAGGACTTTTCACTTGAAAAAAAGTGTCTCCTAACCCCAATAAAATAATCACTAGGTTTAAAAAGATTTGCCCACAAATGTTTTCAGGGAGCCCAGTTTCAATCTCTCTCAACTCATCTCCGTTTCATAGCCCCTGTGCTACTGTGGACACTTACAGCTTAACCGAATAAAGCCAAGAGTTGACCCAAGCTGACTCGCTGATTGCACTGGAGGGAAGTTCCCTCTGACTAACAAGCTGCAATTCAGAATCCTGGAGTTTATTGGGTAGGTGTCTGGGCCAGCGAGCTCGTCGGGCTCACACGCGAGAGCGGCTACAGCCCGTCGCCCTCCGCCCCGCAGAGGGCCGAGGCTGCAAAGCTTAACCGAATAAAGCCAAGAGTTGACCCAAGCTGACTCGCTGATTGCACTGGAGGGAAGTTCCCTCTGACTAACAAGCTGCAATTCAGAATCCTGGAGTTTATTGGGTAGGTGTCTGGGCCAGCGAGCTCGTCGGGCTCACACGCGAGAGCGGCTACAGCCCGTCGCCCTCCGCCCCGCAGAGGGCCGAGGCTGCAATGCGGGCCCCGCTTTGCTGTAACTGCGGCCCCCCGTGCACCTTCATAGCATGCCTGCGGCGTTTCCCCGCTTTCTCCTGCCGCGAGAGCGCCTGCTGTTCCCGCGGCCCCAGGCCGAGAGAGAGAGGAGCTCGCCCAGCTGTCCCCACCCCTGGCTACAGAAGAGTTTCTCCGCGCAAACACCTCCCCCGGGTCGCCATTCCGGCGAGGGATGGGGGGAGGGGGGAGGTGGTCTCTCCCTGGTCCTCACCAGTCCTCCGGGGGGGTGGCTTCAACCTCCCCCAACTGCAGCGGCATCGCCCGACGAGCTCACCAAGTTCCCCTCCGGCTCCCTCCTACAGAACGGCGCAGCAGGTGCGTCCGTTAACCCAACGAACGCCCAGCCCTCGCGCCAATCTCAGTCGGGCGCGTGCGTCGCATCCCCGCCCCCCCCCCAGAGTCTCACTGCGGCTGCCAGGGGACAGTGCGGCGCCTATGCTGCGGCTCCACCCCCAGCTGTCCTCTTCCCCAGGGAGCCTGCATAGGATAGTCCCAAAAGAGGGAGAGGCTGGCAGCTTTCATGCTGTCAGCTGTGCCCACCATACCGTCCCATTCCACTTCTGCTATCCCATCCTTCCCCAGGTCATGGCAGTTTGGCCCCTTTCTCCTGAGGACATTGGCTCCCCCAGCTTCCATTGCCACGCACCACTCCGGGCACCCCACTCTTAACCTGGTGCCTCCTTTTATGCCTATAAACCAGTTTCTAATAAATTGTGCTTAACTCTTGCCCTTTGACTACTTCCTTTCCATGACAGCACCAGATCAGTTTCTAAACTTGTAGCAGGTGGGTTTCTCCTAAGTGTAGTACACCTGACACTATGGGAAACCCCTAAATGGAAAAGTGTTGCTAACTTTGTAATCTCAAAGAAGGGCCCCCCCCCCTTCCCCACTCCTTTTCTGAGGCCTCTTCAATAGTGCACTCGCCACCATCCTCACTCACTTTCAAAGGGTTTGGGCAGGGGTATAGGAAGGGGTAAGTCATCTAGCTGGGGCTCCAGGCTAAGGCTAGAAATGAAGGGTTCAGGTTGCAGGAGAGGACTTCAGGCTGAGGCTGGGGCAGGGGACCCTGGGGTGTGGGAAGAGATTCTGGGCTTGGACTGAAGGGTTTGGAGTGTGGAAGCAGGTTCTTACCTGGTGCAAGAGGGGGTAGGGGATTCAGGCACCAGCCAGGCAGTGCTTATTTCAGGCAGCCCCCAGAACTGACCAGCATGTCTGGTTCCTAGGCAGAGGGGCCAAGGTGCTCTCTTGTATTTACATAATGAAATACCCAATAGAGAGAAGGGACTTTCCTTTACAAAAGCTGTGCTGGTTTGTGCCCAACATGTTAATGTGTGTTTTTCTATATCATTTCTGCCAGTTTCTCTGTTGAAGCTTGTTGTTGTTGAATTCTAAGAATCACTTATAGCACCTTTTTGAAAAGAATATCCACATTTTGTACCCTATATTAAAATGGCCATCTAATTTTGGTAGCAGCTCAGCACTTTGTTCTTAAGTTTCTCTGGAACTCCTGAATGACTTTTGGTAAAATCTCTCCCACAATTATCTTGAATTTGATTATAGTGTAGTCATTTTTACTTAGAGGATGAACTAGAGTTACATCTTGAACCAACTTTTATATATTACTTTCTGCCTAGTTGCCACAGGAGGACATTTTAAAAGTTCTAAACAGTTTCAGCGAATGAGCCAGGATTAGAAATTGTAAGGCACACTGTTAATAAGGCTTGTGTGATTTCATTGGAAGTTTCAAAAGACATGAAGGCAAATTGCTTACAATATACTGTAGCCAGATATATTCATTGCACTTCAACCAGGGAATGTTAAGATATCAATACTATTTATTATTTAAAAAACTGAATTCCTAACCAATATGTTCAAATCATTCTGGTTAAAAGCTATCTTGGTCACCTTAGAATACAGTTTATATCCTCTGAGTAGTGGCTCATTAACTGCAGACTTCTTTCATAATTAAAAAAGAACTAAAACTGTATATTTTAAGAATATCTTATCTAAACTTCCAGACTGCTGAAAACCTGAAAGAAAATAAGTCAGCTCAGATCTAGTTAATCCATACTTGGTTTATCCTCATGTGGGTATCCCAAAGATTTTAATAGTGACTAATCTTTGATTTGTTAATCTGAAATGCTTAATCCAAATAAAATATTAAGTTTGCAGAGACATTCATATTAAAAACAGGTCTGACTGGATGAAATCAAGAACAAATGTCACATTAAGGAAGTGGGAACTCATTTCCATTTTCCAGATTCCAGAGCTTCCAAAGATGTGTGTGTGTATAGTGTGTATGTGAACAGTATGAAAGGACTAATTCTGAGGAGCTTAATAAGGGTATGTCTACGCTGCGTTTTAAAACCTGCAGGCCAAGTCTGAGAGCTTGGGTCAACAGACTAATGCTTATGCGGCTCCCACTACAGTCCTAAACCCAGCTGTGTATACTTTGCACCCCAATCTGGAGCTCAAGCTCTGAAGTCCAGGGAAGGGAGGTGAGCTTCAGAGCCAAATGTCATTAGATCCAGACTCTGAGACTTACTGCTGCAGGTTTTAAAACACAGCATAGATGTTCTCCAAAAGTTCTAACAATACAGTTGAAATAAAGCATTCTGCCTAAAACCATAGCACCCTCTTCTTGGACACAGAATAGATGTTCTTGGCAGTACATTGTACTGACTAAGCTATTTTGGAGCAGGAGGTGGAGTTAGTGATTCACTGCTGCCCCACAAATTGGTATTGAACAAGTGTCACAGCATAGTATCAATGGGCCTGTGATTTTGTGACTACTATCTTTTGGATAAGATGAAAATCTGAGGCACTGAACAGTGGGGATATTCAGCATCCCTGGACATTTGTGCAACATAGAATCAAAGAACCATAGCATTAAAAGGGACCATAAGAACCATCTAATCTAACCCCTAAAATGTCAGATTTGTTCTGTCTAAACCATCCAAGACAGATGGCTATCAAGCCTCTTTTTGAAAATTGCAAGTAATGAGGAATGTAGTCTAGATGAGCCCTAAGGAAAATTAAATGTTACTACAGTATTTTGGTGACTGAGCCCGTGAGATTACTATTAACCAGAGCAAACAGATATGCCCAGGGTTGCCGATGTGGGAGGTGGGGACAAAGCTCATGGATTAGGGACCCCAGAGGCTTCTGTATAGATTATTTAAGTTAACCTTTCTATCTAGCCAATGGTCTAGAAGATACCGTCACAGATGCTTAGTTTTGCAGTTCTCAAACTCTGGATTTGTGACAGTAAAATAGTTTTGAAATAAATAGATAATAGAGAAAATAATCTCAACACTATTGTCTCTGCAAATTTGCATGTATAGTAAATTCCTTACCACTCTCTAAAAGTGCGAAGTTTCAAAAGGTTCAGTGAATAGAAGATTTGTTGGGGGTGGAATAGATCTGGACAAGAAGAAGAAGTCTGGAGATAAATGTGAAAAGGGAGGGACAGGCAATAGAAACAAAAGTGAAATTGAGCAGCATATTCCAGAAGTCTTGAGGTTGGTCTTAGTGTAGCCTTCATTGATTTGAGATCTACCATACCATTCTCTCATTAAAAGGGAAAATCTATAATGACAGCAAGCCGTAAAAGAGACCCAGTTCGGGAATATTTTAATGAAATTCTTCTACCTATGGTTAAGACAGGCATGTGTGTAAAATGCAAACAGTGCAACAAAGAAATGCAATGCCTAGTTGCCCAAATGAAACAACGTCATGAGAAGTGTTCCTTATCAGGAGAAAGTTGCATTGAAGATAATAAAAGAAATATGTCTAAACATGCAGGATCTTCAGTTCGGTAATTTTTTTATTTCATAGTTCTTTCTTAAGGACTGTCTGTCTTCCTTCTGGACTATTCTTGAGTTCTCATAATTGAGCAAAAAATATAGTTGTTACTCTATGACAGTGTTTCTCAAAGTGGTCCAAGAAACCACTTTGAGAAACTGTTAACTGGCCGTGCTGGTTTGTTTCTTATTGGCGTTGCAGCCATGGAGCCCCTCAGCTCCTATTGGCTCTGATTCGTCATTTGCAGCTAAGGGGAGCCACAGGAAGCAGTGTTGGCTGGGCTGCTGCATCTTGTGGCTGCAGACAGTGAACCGGAGCCAATAGGAGTCGTGAGGCTCTGTGGCCACTGTGCCAGTAAGTAAACAAACCAGTGTGGCCAGTTAACAGGTTTCTCAAAATGGTTTCATGGACCACTTTGAGAAACACTGCTGTATTGTACTATCATTTTTGATGCAGTTATGATAAAAAAAAATAGATGCAATAGGCAGATCTTCCTTTTACAATTTCACCTTTAAAGTAGTACTGAATGTCACTGAATGCAATGAGTAATACTAAATGAGCAGTATGGTAATTATAATTAAATAACTGCATTGACTTATTTTGTAAGAGAATCCATCCTCAATTTACAGGATTCTGAAGACTATCCACCTTCAAGATCACCATCATTTTCTATAGTTTCAGAATTATCTGCCAATGTGTTTCAGTCACATCATGTATGTCACATAGCCACAGTCTATCATCTGTGTCAAAGAAAAAATAACTCCACCATCCAGAAACAGGACTCCTCACCACTTTTGCAGAAACAGAAAAAATGAAAACTATGGTATTTTGAACTACAGTAAGTGATTTATTTTTCCCTGGAGAAAAACAAAACAATGCCTTTTCAGTATAGAAAATACTTTATATTGAATAGCAACTATCAATTGAATTGAGACTGCTCAATAGCTTTGTTGCAAGATATTTTTCCTATTCCAACCACTGGCGATTCCTCCACATCCCACCCTCAACAGGAGGGACACAGCAAATAACTAGAGAGTAGGTCATTTCTCTAACTCCCAGATAGCATAAGGTGAAATTCATCCCTGCACAGAGGGGCCAACACAAGGCATAAATGCCACTTACATCCCATATAAGCCCCCGGTGTGAATTGTCTAAAAAGGATATTCGCTTCCCTTCTAACAACTGCCAGTTTAGTTGCCATATTACAAGAGCAGAATTAAATATTAAGGATCTTTTTCAATAAACAAATCTCACATATAAAAATTCCACAGCCTCCTTCATATAAAAAAGCTTGTAATTTTGAACAGAACAAAGTTAAAAAATAGGATAACATATTGAAATAGTTTATGAGACATAAAACAAAGTACAAATAAAATGCAACACAGAATTTCAGGTCTCTTAATTCTCCAAACACTCACATATGACAGATGTAACTGAGCAATCACCGCTATGTTATTAAAACTCTGCTCATTTTCTGAGAAGGAAATCTGTGACTAGATAAACATTAATGGTTCTATTTTGCACAGCTTTCCATAGCA